AGAAGTTGGACTTGCAAAAGCTCTCTCATGTGATCTCCCACATGATTTCTATCACCAAGGCCATGCTTTCCAACTGCTGATCCTTCTTCATTTCCAATTTTTGCATTCCAAACACCAGTAATTATCAATGCATCTTGACTGCATGTTTGATCAATTTCAGACTCAGAAGTTGGTAAAAATCTTCAATTCCCTCATCTTTGGCATTAGAGCTTGGTGTGCAAAATTGAATAATAGTTGTATTAAATGGTTTCCCTTGTAAGCATATGGACATTATCCTATCAGCATTGTACTTCAAGATAGAGATAGATCTTGAAACGCTCTTTTTGAAGATGAATGCAATGCCATTCCTCTTCCCTGGCATAGCAGATCATGACTGTCTGATTCAAAGTGGCCAATACCAGTTCATTTCAGCTTACTAATGCCTAGGCTAACGAACTCTGGTAGCGTAATGGTTACAAGTTGGGCTGCTAACCTCAAGGTCAGCAGTTCGAAATTACCAGCCGTTCCATGGAAGAAAGATGAGGCTTTCTGTACTTGTAAAGATTTACAGCCTCAGAAACCCTATACAGGGTCGCTATGAGTCAGAACCTAACCACCACCACCAGTACCTAGGATATCAAGTTTTTCATTCCATTTCATTTTGACGACTTCTTCCAATTTTTGTAGATTCATTTTTCATACATCCTGTATTCATATTATTAATGGATGTTTGCAACTGCTTCTTCTCATTGTGAACCGTGCCATGTTAGCCAATAAAGATCCCATAAGCTTTGCTCTATCCACATGGTTCTGAAGGAGTCTACTTTAACGAGAGAGCTCTTCTCCAGTTATATTCTGAATGCCTTCCAGACGGAGGTACTTGTCTTCTGGCATTGTATCAGACCATGTTCTGCGATTCGTAAGGTTGATTCAGTGGCTAAGTCTTCAGAAGTGAGCTGCCTTTTTCTTTTTCCTAGTCTGTCTTAGTCTAACTCTGCTGGTATTTGAGATAATGGTGGCACGGATTCCACCAGCATAGCAACACACAAGTCACCACAGTATGACAAAGTGGCATCTGAGTGGCTACTTGTTGTTGTTGTTGTTGTTGTTGTGAAGTACCGTCAAATCGGTTCCAACCCATAGTGACCCTGTATACGGTTTCCGAGGAGCCACTGGTGAGCTTGAATTGCCTACCTTGTGGTTCAAATCAACTTTGCAGTCTAGCACATTAACCCACAGTGCCGCACCAGGGCCATTTAAATTAACATCATGATCCTGATGCCATGTTTTTCTAGACTAACAACCTGTTAGTCTAGAAAATCTTGACAAGACGACACAATCTTGCTTGCTGAAAGAGGACTTGAATCGCTTACTGATAACGATTAAAGACTATAGCCTTCAGTATGGTTTTTACCCTGGCATAAAGAAAACCAAAATCCTTACAACTAGACCCATAAGAAACATCATAATAAACAAAGACTGAAGTTGTCAAGGATTTTCTGTCTCTTACGTCCACAATCAATGCTCATGGGAGTAGCAGTCAAGAAATCAAACAACATATTGTTGTTGCTAAGTGCCATCGAGTCAGTTCCGACTCACATGGCAACATATTATGTTGGGCAAATTTGCTGCCAAAGACCTCTCTAAAGTGTTCAAATGCAAAAAAGTCACTTTGAGGACTAAGGTGTCAGATACCAAGCCATGGTATTTTCAGTCACCTCATATACATGTGAAAGCTGGACAAGGAACAAGGTAGACTGAAGAAAAAGAATTAATGCATCTGAATTATGGGTGTTCAGGAAGAAGACCGAATATACCATGAACTGCCAGAAGAACAAACAAACTTTTGTGTTGGAAGAAGCACTGTCAGAATACTCTAGAAGCCAGGATGGCCAGACTGTCTCACTCATTTTACACATGTTGTCAGGAGGACATTGTGCTTGGTAAAGTAGAGGGTCAGTAGAAAAAGAGAAAGTTCCTCAATGAGATGACACAGAGGCTGCAGCCATGGGCTTAAACACAGCAACAGTTATGAAAATGTCCCAGGAGTGAGTGACATTTCATTTTGGTGTACATAAGGTGGCTACGCATTGGGCACCTAACAATATGTGGATCACATTATATTGCAATTAGAAAGTGTTGCCTTAGAGTTACAGTGTCCGCATGATAGCCACTAGCCACAAATATCTATTTCAATTTAAATGAATTCAAATTACATCAAATCAAAGCTCACTTGCTCAGTCACACTTCCCATATTTCAAGTGTTCAGCCGCCCATATGGCTAGTGGCTGCCTAGTTGGACAGTGCATACATAGAACATTTCCATCCTTGAAGAGTGGTTTATTGGGCAGTGGTGCTCTGGAAAATAATTTTACATGCATTTTTCGGGAAGAATATAAAAGTTTTTCCAAGTTTCATTCATTAATTGATACCTCCAGATCTCCAAGGGACAAGACACTCACACGAGTCCTAAGTATCCACCACTGTGTTCCTCCACCCCAGGTCTTGCCAATGTCCACCCGTGTGTACTATTATTTATGAAACAGATTTCCTGAAGCCAACAGTGAAATGACTCTCTTAAACTTATCCTCCTCAGCAATAACTCCCATGAAATCACATCACAGTATCTAGCCCCTGGGTATATTGGGGTGGTGCTAGTAATCACCGGCAACTCGAAATGAGGACCAGGGCTGGGGAGGGGAAGATGGTAACTTGACTTGTCAAGATGGAGCCCACACACTAGGCAACAAGCTAGGCCTGGCTGTGAGGATTTGAAATTAGGATACAGCTGAAGGCTGGGTCTGGAGTAGACAGCAGCAGGTGAATTGAAAATATCACCAGCTGGTAAGACAAGAACAGAGACAGAGCCTAGATTGAAGGGGTGGAGAAGACAACCGAAAGGACAAACTGTTTGGACAGCTCACTCAACTACCTACAAGGCTGAGTGTTTCCCAAAGTAGGTTGTAAGGGTTGTTCTGGGGTCCCAAGTCACATGCCAGGAAGCCCTGGGAGCCGGGTTGACCAGGGCAGAGACACCATCATTGAGTCCTACTGGTACAGCTATTCCTGGCTCAGAGCTGGCCTGAGCTGTGCTTTGTCTGACTTGCATGCTCATGGTTTAATGGCATCAGGACAGTGCATGGGACACTGCTGGGAATCAGAACTGTCCTGTGAATCTCCAGGCCTCCATTTCCTCATCAGTCCTGCCTGCTATCCCTTCCAATCCAACTTTACTAGCCTTCTCTGTGTTGTCAAGGTGTGAGGCTTCTCCTCACACTTATCATGGTCCCCTGGGCAGGTTGCTGAAAGATTCAGGGAGGCAAGTAATTGTTAGCTTACATAGCTACTCCTCCATCTGACCAACAAGAACTTGCTGAAGGCAGAGTTCAGGTCTCCTTTACATGACCTTGCCCCACACCTATGACATCTGGTACAAAGATGTTATGTCATTAACTGAATGAATGAATATGAGTGTACATTGTGTTGACTGGGGGCTCTGTGGGATATCCAGAGGAAAGTGTCTGACAGAGAAATGCAGGTAGAGGCAGACCTCAGGAAGACGTGCAAGCTGGAGATGCGACATGTTTCCCCCTGTGGGCTGCGGTTCCCTGGAGAGCCCAGGTAAAGGATGTTTTTCTCAGTGGATTACTTCCAGAATAAGGAGAAGACCAAGATCCCATCCCCTAAGCAAGGCTGGCTGAAGGTCCTACAGAAGGGAAAGATAAGGAACAACATACTTTTCAAAGCTTCAAGGGGCTGACCTTGAGGAAGCACAGGTGTTCCTGTGGGTCCCCTGAGAACAAGGCTAGGGCAGGTTGTTGAAGGCTTCAGGGATGCAGGTTTGACTCAATGTGCAGAAATCTTCTAGAAAAGGTGGACTGGGCTGCTCGAGAGAGATAAAACTCTCATCAAAGAAGATATGCAAGCGGAGGCTGGTCCTTTACTTGGTGGTGAATCAAAGACCCAATGGGGGAGGGCTGAATTAGATAACTCTTCAGATCCCTTACTTTTTGAGAATCAAGGACGGCAGAAGGACAGCCTAGTCATCCCCAGAACCTGGGACCATCCTCTGAGGAGAGCTGTCTCTAGTCCTCTGGACATCTTTTCTGGTCAGGCCCTGGCCACTGGGGAGCTCTGTGCTTCAGAACACATCAACCCTATCAACAGCTTCCCACCAACTGTTGGCAGAGGAGCTAGAGAAGCCAAAGGAGCTGTCTTCAGAGACGTTAACTCATCTACCAGCACAGAAAAAAAAAAAAAGGTTCCCTTTATTTGTGAACCAGCCAATGACATCTCATGGATTCACTGAACAACTGGGGAGAAGCTGGTAGGATTGAAAGAGCTCTTGGGAAGGAGGCAGGTCTCATAGTTCCAGCTCAACCGCTACCAAAAACTCACTGTGGAAGCTTGGGCAGGTGTCTTCCCTTGGGACCTCAGTTTCCCTACCCATGAAAGGTGGGCACCTCCCTTATTAAGAAGTTCAAAGGAGCTACCTAAGTGTGAGACCTGGAAGCCCTCGAAAGTGTGAGGAGTTGTTTTCTCCGGGGAGGGAAGTTGGGAGATCTTTCAGAGACCTCAGACACAAGTGTGCATCTGCACCCCTCATGGGAGAGAGTCAGGGGGCAGGGCTGAAGGGGCTGGAGGCTAAGGCTGTGGCCTGGGAGATGAGACTGGGGCTCCTGGGTAGGCAGGAGGTACCTGGGGAAAGCGCCTGTAGCTTTTAGAGAATCCTTAAGTTTGAGAATGTGGATAGAGGGGCAAGTGGGAAGGGAGGTGGAAGGGGCCAGGCAAGGACTGGTCTTGGCATTGGGAACATTGGAGGCCAGGGCAGAACATAGTTCACAGATTCCACCTATCTCCTGCCTGGACCAAAGGCTTCACACCAACCTGTTAGTGTCCACCTGCGCCCTCCAGAGGCTTTCCCGCTGGACCTGGGGGCAGTGCTGTCCCTTCAGCGTGGACCCACGCCCTGCCCGCCAGTCCTTAAAAGCGACGGGCCGCTCCCGGCAGCCCGCCCTCACCTCCACTAGCGGGTAGGCGATTTCATTGTAGATCTGCTCGGTGAAGTGGTCCATGTAGTAGGCGCCGTCGAAGGTGAACTGCTTCGGGGGCTCATCAGCGGCGCCTGGGTTCTGGATGAAGCACTGGCCGCGGGCACAGTCCACCGTCACCACGGGCTGGCAGTTCAGCTCCCGCTCCCGTTGGTTCATGGGGCGGCAGCGCACCACAACCTTTACCGACTCGGAGGCCATAGCACCGCGACAGTGACCCCCAGAGCAAGGCCCAAAGTGGGCGCCGTGGCCCAGGCCACCACCCACCTGCCAGGGGGCGGGGCCAGCGCCAGCTGCGGGAGGCGGGGTCTGGAAGCGAGGGCGGGGCCACGGCGGGGCGGCTGGATTTATCGGTGGGAACCCCGAGAAGAAACGGTAAGGTACTGGGGCTGCGGGGGCGTCGCAGGGCCGGAGCCGCCGCCTCCTCCTGCGCCCGGGCTCGCCCGTCCCTGAGGTCCGGCGCGGACCGGGACGTGGGAGATGCGCGCTGCAGGCGCCGCCACAGGACCCGAGCCCCCGGAGCCGCCTGCACGCACGCACGTCGCCGCAGGGGCGTTCACGGTTGCTGGGTAACGCCCGTGGCGTCACAGTCGCCAACAACGTCTTTGCGTTCTCCGCTCTGGGTCGCAGAGAGAGCAGCGCAAGAGACGGTGTTCTGGGGCCCCGTTTCGATTATTCCTTGGCTGGAGGCGCGCAAGAGTGCTTTCAGGGAAGGACTAACACCGACTTGCCTGCAGCGGCTATCTGCTCTGTTATCTTCTCTAATCCAGAGAGGGTAAGCAATTTGCTTGACGTTGTCCCGTCAAGATTGGGAGTCCAGGCTGGACTTCACGGGGCTGAGCCAGAGGCAAGAGGAGAGACCTCTCATGGACGTCAGAACTACTGAGAAAGGCTAAAAGGACCCAGCTGCCCTTTGCCTTTTGTACTGGCGCAGGGACCAGAGCCCAGAGCACCCTGGACAGTGTGAAGTTTCTCTAATGCCGCCCCTCATATTTTGTACTACTAGAGATTAGTGGGGCGGGAAGCTTTAAATCCAAGCCTTCTGGCTGGAGAGGTCCCCGGGCATCAGAAAGGTGTCTTGTCAGGCTCCTCTGAGCTCCTTTCTGTACACAGTGTCAGCCGCATGCCGGGGAGATGGCTAATCCCTGCTCTCCTGGATCCCATAGTAGGGGAGGGGGGGGCTGACATTAGCAAAAAAAATCCCACATATAATTACGAGCTAAAGGACAGGTCCTATGGAACATCTAACAAGGGAACCTCCTGAGCCCAGAGATCAGATGATTCCTGTGAATCATTTCTCCAAGATGCCCGCTGCCCACTATGGTCAAGTCCACTCTGGCAGAGCCCACACCAGTTCTAGCTACCTTCAGATGGTTCTGCTCAGACCCCAAATCCAAGGGTGGAAAATACTTTTGGTCTAGTTAGGTGGCATCTGTTGAGTTAAGCAGGTGGAGGCAGGAGAGGCGGGTAAGACCCCTCCAGGCTATGCAAATGTCCTGTGGCATGTTGGAGCAGTAGAAAACAAGCCAGAGCATAGGGACTTGAGTCTTTTCCCTCCAGAAAAGACCCACTGACAGTTTTAAGCAGAAGAGGCATATGCTTCCGTCATGACATCAGACCAGGACCTCTGCTCCACCAAGGCACCTCAGCACCAGCTGAAGGTATGTTTGGCAAACAAAAACAAACCAAGCACACTAGACAAAGACCTTGCCTTTCAAAGGAAAAATCTGTACCAGACAATCTGAAGAAATGCCTTTTTATTTTTCAAGACGGTACAGTACAGAGAACTAGACTACTTAAGTGAGTGGTACCGGTCTGAAGAGAGAAAACTCTAGCTTGTAATTAAGACATTAAGGACATCTGGCCCAAAAGACACACTTGGGTCAAAGACTGTAACGTGATCAATAAATGTTGTTTGAAGAAATGTTGGAGGGCTTGGGGAAGGTTGGTTTCTTCAGCTAAATATTCCCGACACCTTGTCAGCCAGGAGTTCTAGGGGGGCAATGGTTAGATCCTCAAGGTTGGCATTTCAAACCCACTGGTGGAAAAGACCTGGTGATCTGCTGCCATCCAGATTACAGCCTTGGAAACCTTACGGGACAGTTCTCTGTAAGGTCCCTGAGCTGGACGAAATTCCGTGGCACCGAGCAACAAACCCTTGTCTGCAGGGATACCTCATGCAGTAAGCATGAGCTTTGTTTGGCCCTAGCCTCGGCCACTTAGCAGGTCCTCTTCAATCCCCATCCCCAGGGCTGTAATCCCGGGCACTGAGGCACCAGAGCTCTCTCCTCACCAGGGGAAAGCGAGATGGGTCCAGTAGAAATGGCTGTAGACCTAGTCCTGGGTTCCCAGGCACATTCAACATAAGGTCAGTGCTGCTGTGTTTCCAAAGTAAAGGGCCCCCAAAGAACAGCTTCCTCCTGTTCCTTGGGACAAGCTGTCTTCATTTGTTTAGCATAAAAGTGACAAGGTGCTTGGCGAAGATCATTCTGTGAGTGGGAATTACAGGCTGGACGCACCAGGCCTGAGTCTCCACAGACCCTACCTTCTGATTTGCCAAATTTGCCTCCCCGCTTTCTCTCTTCCTCCCAGGACTATGAAATCTGTTGCTTCCCAGGCCCTGACTGTCACTTCCCACTCCTGCGCCCCAGACTCAGGACTAGGCTTCTGCTTCGGACCAGAAATTCTTCCAAAATGAACAGGTCCCTAAAGTGTATACTTGGGCAGGTTCTGATTTGTCTGTTAAGTTGGTGCCTGGATTGTTCAGTCACCAGCAGGGCCCACTCACCTAGACTAGTCACTCCCCTGGGTCCATTGAGGCCAGGCCACACCAGATCTACCCCAACTTCAAGGAAGGGAAAAAAACAGAGCTAGCCTGGTCAGGTGGCCCCCGACACCAGAGTCAGCACCCTGTTAAGGAAATACCAGGATTGAGTGGCTTCCAAAGGCAGCCACAAACCTCAGATTGCTGTCTGCACGGTCAGGGGCCTGGGCCCTGGTCCTCCCGCTAAGCCTGTGGTTCTCTGCAGGCACCCTCAGTCAAACACTAAAGGAAACAAGCCCTTTAAAGTGGAGAGGTCTTAGTGGTTCCTGTGAGGGTCACAGAGGGAATGAGAACTACAATGAGAAAGTCAGACTTACAATCCTGTGAGTTTGGGTGTGGACAAACCAGTCTTCTAAGCAGTACAGGGTCTACGTTCATCTGCTGCTTCATGGCTCTTTCTGCATTCAGGTGTAGCCTATGCCCAGGTTTTAGGTGGCACCGCTTTTTGTTCATCCTGACCTTTCTGTATCTTTCTAACCCCTCATCTCCCCGAACTTCAGGTCAGGCCCACTGAATTTCAGGGGCACGTGGGAAACAGGTTGAGCTCTGTCAGCCCACACACTCCACTGAGTCATTTCTGCTCTCTCAGTGAGGGGCTGACTCACCCCTGCTTCCCCAAGCACCTCTCCCATACTTGTCTGGGTTCCTCAGTCAGGAGCTCTCTGGGGTCTCTCAGCCAGGGCCCCAAGGCCAGACAGATTACATTTCCTTCCTGCCCACCTCAGAAGGCTCCCGTCCTAGGAACAGAGTGGGAAGCCCCACCTGGAAGCTCAGCTTGTAACATCCGGTGAGAACCCATTGGCTCTCTGAATCTCAGGGGTATCGTACCTCACTGAAGTGATGCAAGACTGGTACAAAGGCTTAGTGACCAGATGGGAATGTTGACCAGCAGGGTGGAGGAAGGGCAGAGCGGCCTGCTGAGGCCCAGGGGCTGGCGTGAGGCCAGGCATTTGTGTTTGGGGCCAGGCACCTAGCCCAGACCCTGCAGCTCTGCCTCAGACTTAGCATGGCTCAGGGGCCGGAGAGTCCGGGGGGGCCTGACCTCAGGCCCACAGTCCTGCCCCTCATAGCCAGGGTTCAGGTGGCCCATGTCCAGGGAGCAGAAGAGGCTGCGCTCAGTGCCCGAGTGATGCTCCACCAGGGCCTCCAGGCTGGGAAACTCAGTGGGCAGGTGCTGAGGAGAGAAAGAGAGACCCAGTTCTAGTTTTTGCAGAGCTCCCGCAGGGTACCTACCACCCCGCTCAAGGATCCTGACCTATTTTTTTGTTGTTATGTGCTGTAGAGTCGGTTCCGACTCATAGCGACCCTGTACAGGGTTTCCGAGGCTGTAAATCTTTACGGGAGCAGAAAGCCTCATCTTTCGCCTGCGGAACAGCTGGTAGTTTCGAACTGCTGACC